AAAAACTGTCGAGGAAATCGAGAAAAGTGGAAAAATTTGTGTCTTGGACATCGAGTTGCAAGGAGTTCGTAATATCAAAAACAGTCATCTGGATGCTAGATACATCTTAATTCGTGCTCCATCCATTAAGCTCCTCGAAGAAAGGCTGAGAGCTCGAGGAACTGAAACCGAGGAAAGTTTGAAAAAACGTCTGCAACACGCAGAAGAGGATCTCGTTGAAAGTAAGTGTTTTTTTTTCAAATTTTGCCAATAGATATATCTTTCAGTTGAGAAGAATCCGACACTTTTCGATAAAGTGATTGTGAACGACGATCTTGAGCGTGCTTACAAGGAATTCGTTGACCTTCTTCGTGAGGATCTCGAAAAAACGAAAAAATAAAACAGTCTTCCTTCGCTCCTCATTATCTTCCGCATTCATTCCGATCCCTTACTTGATGAACGTCTTATCATGAGTATCGCCGATGTTTTTGGTTGTGGTACTCCATCCTCTGAAAATCTTTCCATACTGCTTTACTCTTTTTTTCTTTTCTTGATTTATTGCGTCCATTTTCAGATTATATTTTCAGTTAGCTTTTTCTTTTCAGACAGCACATTAATTTGGTTATATTTATTTATAATAAATTTTAGTTTTTTTAAATGATGGGTTTCACAATTTATTCACTGTCATTGAGCAGAGAATCTACTTACGAAAGGAAACCTGATGGGTGACATAAACAAATGAAATATAGATGAAATCAAGACTTCCGCCACTTCCTGCTCTACGAGATTTCATTCACATGTACCGGCTACGCGCAAAAAAGATTTTATCACAAAACTATCTGATGGATATGAACATTAACAGGAAGGTATAAAACAACGATAAAATGGGTAATCGTATCTACACACCAGGGGCACTTTTCACGCTGAGCTATTTTTAAAGGAAACTGTTTCACACAGTTTTTCCCGTGACATTTTAAAATGAGAGCCAATAAAAAATGAGACACGTGGATCCACAGTATTCACATGATGCGAATTAGAGTGAATTCAAGTTTGTTCCCCCAAATAGATAGATAGGTAGTACCTCAAAAGTCGAATCAGTATTACTGAAGTCGAATCAGTATTGAAGTGCTCCTTTGACTACCTCCTTTGATTTTCAGCCGTTTTTTCCGTTGTTTTGATTGAATCATTGTCTGATTCTAAAAATACTGGCACCTGAGAGTTGAATGCTGTTGCTCTAATATAGATTTTTTTTTTCTCGTTCGAACAGTTTTCGCAATCAAGCTTGGAATTTCGATTTAAAAATTCTAGAAATTCTAGCCACCAAAATGTTACCAAGATCATAATGTTATCAGAACATCCCACTAAATTCAAAGAAATCAATTTCGTTTGATACAATGGCGGATTCAAAGACGAGGCCTCGTAAATCGACACGAACGGCGCTCGCGAAATTTTCAGGTGCCAGTTTTTTGAAATTTGACAATATTGGTTGTTTTTGCTAATTTTTATGTAGAAATTGTAATGGATTTTTAGTAGAAAAAACGAAATTTTCACTGAAAAATGATGCCCTCCAATAGAATATCTGTTCTCGAGGACTCACGAAAAATACAAGTCCTCCCTCTAATTAAAGAACCCTTCTAATTCCTCGGGACCCCACGAATGATAGAAGGACCGGCCCTTCTAATACAGGTTTTACGGTAAATACAAAAAAATTAGCAACTTAAATCGGCGTATACTAAAAACAAGGCCCCTAGAAGTAAAATCAGCCATTAAAAATTATTTTCAGCTTCTAAAAAGTAGGCTTAGCCTTTAAAAAACGTTTACCGCACACACACACACTCTTAAAAATCAGGCTTCGAAAAAAAAATTTTAAAAAACCTGTATTAGAAGGGCCTCTTTAATAGAAGGGTCCCTCTAATAGAAGAGCCCTCCGAGAGGGTCTTGGAAATAGAAGGAATAGAAGGGCCCCCTTTAATAGAAGGGCCTCCTGTAATAAAAGGACCTTCTGTGAAAAGGACCTCTTTTCAAAATGTGTTTTAAAATCAGAAAATTTTCCGTACTTTTTCGGTGGAAAATATTCGGAAACTCCACAATTGAATAGAAATTTGTTGAAACTCTATTTTTCGATGAAAATCTTGCTAAATTTTGATGAAATCGGCAGGTTTTCATGAATGTTGAACAAAATTTCGTCGAATTTTTCGAAGCAAAAATTCGGAAAAAAAACTGGCCGGAAAAATAGAAAAGCTCTCTCTAATTGAAGGTCCCCTGTAATAGAAGGGTCCTCTGGAAATACCTTGGAACAATAGAAGAGCCGGCCCTTCTAATACAGGTTTTACGGTGAGAAAAGTAGGCTCAGCTCTTAAAAAGTAAGCTTAGAACCCTAAATTAATGGATACAAAAAACAAGTCCGTCTGAAAGTCAAATTAGCCCTTTAAAGTTACTTCAGCCATTAAAAAGTATGCTTAGAGCTTGAAAAGACATTTACAAAATGTGGAAAAAGTCCCTAGAAAATTCTGAATAGCTATGCGAAAAAGTTCCCTTTTCTGGCAATACTTGAAGTTTGTTTTCTGATCCCAATTTATGAATCCCAATTTATGAAAACATTTTTGAATTTTTACAGAACATATGTCTCTCAATCGATTCCGGAATTGTTTTTACACATTTATGAAAGTTATGTTTTTCCAGTTTATAATATTCGAAAATAATTTTTTTGAATCCCAATAATTTTTTTGAATTTTCAAATTAGTCCTTAAAAGTAGGAAAAATCCTTAGAAAATGCCTATGCAGGAAAACAATTTCCTCTTCTTTTTTCTGAACAGTTGGTAATGTTTTTCCAGTTTCGGAAACTCCAAAAACTACCCCAAGAATCATTTGAATTTAAAATCAGAAATTCGAAAAAAAAATAAAAAGTTGAGTTTAAATTTTTAAAACGTGAGGTATATAATAACCATCGAAACTTCCTCTAACGTGCTCCCGATTAGCCTTGTGGTTAACAGGGATGAATTTGAACCGTCGTTGGTTCGAGTTCTCCCCAGAGCCTAGTGGTTTTTGTCAGTATACAGTAATCGGGGCAAATCGGTAACAAAACACGGGAAATGCCCCCTGGTGTGGCGATACGATTGCGTCGAAAAAATAATAAAGTACACGGTTTTTCACATAGATCGCTAAACATGCAAAAGTCAATGAAAATGATTGGGTCATTGAAATCGGATCCGGTCCGGGAGGCATTACAAGAGGAATTCTGGAAGCAGGAGCATCAAGACTCGATGTGGTTGAAATTGACAACAGGTTCATTCCACCATTGCAGGTGCGTCAATCGTTTTAAATATATTGCCACCACCTGATAAATAAAAAGTGGAGTAATGGGAAATCATGATAAATATAAATCATGATAAAAATATGACGATAATTTTTGACGAGGGAAACATGCTCCGGGAAAGGATTCAACAAATTTAAAAGTCGGGAAAAATCAGATATCTGATTTTCCGAGAGAAAAAAAATTCAGGAAATAAATCTGATATCCGATTTTCCGAAAGCGATTTTCCGAGCAATCCTGATCGAAACACATCTAATTTGATAATTAATTTAATATCTAAATCATACATTTTATTATCCAAAAAATTAGTTGAAGTGGCTATACAATGAATGTAATTAAATGCAAAATTTCCCTTCCCAGCATCTGGCTGAAGCAGCAGATTCTCGAATGTTCATCCACCACAAAGATGCCCTTCGAACAGAAATCGGCGATATATGGAAGGTATGCTGAAAACCCCCTTCTGGGAGGGAACTCCTCTCTGAGCTGAGAATATAATTAAATATTTTCTAGAAAGAACCAAATCGTCCGAGTTCTGTCCCTTGGCATGACTCAAAATTACCACAGATGCATGTCATTGGAAATCTCCCTTTCAATATTGCTTCTCCACTTATCATCAAGTAATCAAAAAATGATCGTATTTGAATCATTCAATTTCTTTCAGATACCTCCGCGATATGTCTTATAGGCGTGGAGTTTGGGAGTATGGTCGAGTGCCTCTTACGCTAACATTTCAATTGGAAGTAGCGAAAAGACTGTGTTCTCCGATTGCTTGTGATACTCGTTCTCGTATTTCAATAATGGCTCAGTATGTGGCAGAACCTAAATTGGTTTTCCAAATTTCAGGTGTGTCTTTTCATTCCTGTTTTAAAAGTTATCAAAATACATACCGTAAAACCTGTATTAGAAGGGCCGGCCCTTCTATTGTTCCAGGGTACCTCCGGAGGGCCCTTCTATTAAAGGAGCCCTTCTAATACAGGTTTTACGGTAATTCATTTTCAGGTTCATGTTTCGTTCCACGACCTCAAGTAGACGTTGGAGTTGTTCGATTCGTTCCTCGGAAGACGCCACTCGTTAAAACATCGTTCGAAGTTCTTGAAAAACTATGTAGACAAGTGTTTCACTACAGACAAAAATATGTGGAAAAAGGGCTGAAAACGTTGTACCCGCCTGAAATGGAAAATGAAATGGCTGATGAGTTGCTGAAGAAATGTCGGATTGATCCAACTACAACATCCATTAAATTAGGAATGGAACAGTTTGCAGATCTTGCAGAGGGCTACAATGAGCAGTGTATCAGGTTAGTCGGGGGGGGGGGGGGGTTGAACCATGAATAGTAGAGAAATTCTCTGATATTTTTTATGATCTACATTAAAACCGAGAGCATTCAATATTCTCACTGGAAGCATCCTAGGATCCTCCAGTTGAATTTTTGGCATCAAACTTTTGAAATCAAAGTTCCAGTAAACAATAATTGTCCTATCTCAAAATACTGTAAACACTCGAATAGAATGTCCCAAAACCGTCAATTTCGAAAAACTTTCTGTGAAAGATATCAGAAAGTAGTTAACTGATAAAATGTTTATCATAAAATTAAAAACATTTTGTCAGTATGGATAGCCTAATTTGGATAGCCTAATTTCAAGAAAAAGTTCAATTAGAAGAGCCAAGAACTTCCCAGTGAGAAGTTGATCGTTAATTACAAAGAATCGAGTTTCACGTGATTCGACACCTACTTGTGCAAGTAGACGGATTAGTAGTTTTTTAAACACCAATGATCATGACCCAATTACTATAGCTCAGTGAGATCAGAACAGTATTCACATGGCAATCAGTGTGTCTTATCGACAAAAATTTTCTGATTTTGTCGACAAATTTACTTGACAAATTATCGATAAATTTGTCGATAGAAAACGATAAAATTTTGCCGATAAATTGTCGACAAATTATCGGTAAATTTATCGACAAAATTTTGTTGACAAATTGTCGATAAATTTGTTGTTTTTTTTTGTCGATAAATTTGTCGAAGGGGGCATTTGTCGACAAATTATCGACAAAAATTGCTATTGACCGCGGGAATTACTAGTAAAAAATCGTATCTCATCTTTTTTTTCTAGGCCATCTGACCTGGTGGCCTAATTTTTCCAACATGAATTTTCTAGGCCACCAAACTTTTTGACCTGAAAATGATCTGATGTTAACATGGTGGCCTAACTTTTGCAATATGAGTTTTCTAGGTCACCAATCTTTTTGGCCTAGAAATGGTCAGATATTCACCTGGTACGTTTTCTGAGCCATTTTAACATGGTGGCCTAACTTTCGTAAGTTGAGTTTTCTAGGCCATCAACTTTTTTGACCTAGAAATGGTCAGATATTCACCTGGTACGTTTTCTAAGCCATTTTGGGGTGGTGGCCTAACATTTGCAAGTTGAGTTTTTTAGGCCACCAACTTTTTTTGCTTAAAAATGATCAGATATCCATCTGGTATGTTTTCTAGGCCATTTTTACATGGTGGCCTAGAAAACTCAACGCGCGAAAGTTAGGCCACCATGTTAAAATGACCTAAAAACACACCAGGTGAACATCAGATCATTTCTAGGCTAAAATCGTGGCCTAGAAAATTCATGTTGTGAAAGTTGGGCCACCAAGCCAGATAGCCTATAAAGTTTGCCTGGGTAAGCTCTTTCATCATTCTAGAAGTCCTAGGAAAAAATGGTAACGATACGATTTTTACAAGTAATTCCTTCGGTTAATAGCAATTTTTATCGACAAATTATCGGTAAATGTTGTTTTTATCGACAATTTGTCGGTAATTTTCCGATAAGTTTACCGGTAAATTTGTCGATAAATTTGTCGAAAAGGGCGTTTGTCGACAAATCATTTGTCTATAAGGCACACTGATGGCAATATACAGTTCTGATGATATATTTATCTATTTCGTTTTCAGACATCCTGGACTGTTCCTCTACGACTATACGAACAAACAACACAACCTCGAGAGTCTTTCGAAAGAACAATACCCTCTACCACCTCCTGTTCCAGTTTTTGATTCGCCTTCAGACGAAGACAGTGAATGGTCACTGAGAAACTTTAATTTGTAGATTGTTACATAGGTTTATTGTTATTTTCCATTATTTTTGTTTTTGTTTTTGTTTTTGATAGATTTATTCTGATCTTGAAGATTTGGGTAGTATAATAAAGATGAAAGAAGTTTTAAAAACATTAGAACATCAATGTACCGGGTAAAAATAAATATTTAGGAAGTAACCTTGTTGATGTACTCCTTGAATTCATCGAAGGTGATCTTGGAGTCTCCATCCTTGTCAGCCTCCTTAATGACTTGGATAAGAAACTTGAGGTTGGTCTTGAACACTGGGTCCTTCTTATCATCCTTCTCGGCTCCAAGAAGCATACAGATCACATCATCTTTGCTGATGAATCCACTCATGTCCTTATCATGAAGAGAAAACATTTCACGGAGCTCATGTTCTGAAAATTGGAATATTCTTTTTTTTTTGAAAATGAGAAATAATCAAAGTCTCCTATAATACTCACCCCAGGTAGCCATGACGAAAAAATCAATTAAGAATGAAAGAGTTCTTGAAAAACGGGGTGGAGGCGGGAGGTGTCGAGTGGGTAAACAGAAGGAGAATCGGAGAGAGAAGAGCAGTCAAGATGAAATGTTTTGTCTATTGTATTTGTTTTGTTAATTTGCATTTTTTCGAAAATCTCTTAGTGTATTTTTGAACTCAAAGGAAGGGGAACGATGCTCGTGAAGGTTACAGTACCCAAAAATTCAAAGTTTCAATTGCTTGATACAGAAGAAAAGAAAAGTATTTTTAGAGCTTTCAAGGGAAATAAAGAATTCCTAAAAAGTGATTCCATCGAAAGTTACTATCGCTTTCTTGATTTTTATTTTTGAAAATCCGAAGCGATTCCATGAATGCTGTTCTTCTGATTCTTCTCCTGATAACATTCTCTTGATCCCCTGTCGTCTCTTGGTTGTATCCACTCAACGCGAAACTCGAGGACGATTCCAGGAAACTCTTTTCTTAGCGCCTATCCTGCATTGTTTGTTTTGAAACACTCTATGTCAGCTAAAAGAAAGACTGAGCACAGTGAGATTTTACGAAAGGGGAACAAAAATCGAAAACTATTGTTCTCAAAAGGGATTCATGGAAGTTTGATAAGATAAATGAAGTGTTCTAGGTCACACAAACGTATAATAGTACGCTTCTTGTCGGCGTAGAAAATGGAAGAGATTCAGATTGGTATCTCGAAAGATTAGATAAAGCCACATTTTTATACAGGCGAACATATATTGAAGTTGAAATGTCAATTTACAGATAAAAAATAATCCAATGCCGACTTCAGCTCAATGTTCAGCCACCATAAATATTGTCATCCAATAAAATATTACAAACCTGTAATAGAAGAGGCCCAAACTTTTAACTTGGAATAAATTTATATCGATTCCTGTCAAAGATATGAAGCAGTTGTCAACTGATAAACTGTTTGTCATAATATCACAAACATTTTATCATTTGAAAATTTTTTATATATTGCATAGGAGCCAAGAAAATATCGCTCAAACCTGATAGTGCGGGGCCCTTCTATAACGGTATTCATATTCATGAACAGCTTGAAACTCATCTACATGTGGAGTGATTCAGAATATGTACAGTAATGGCTGTTCAAAGTACTCTTGCTCCAGCGATTTTTTTTTCAGATCAATATTTTCCGTATTTCGATTTTTCGGGAAATCATCAGGAAGTGTAACTGGAGTTCTGTGTTTAGCTAATTAAAAACCGGAATCCACAATCGTTGTTTCTGAAGTGTGGTGTATTCTAGAGTTATACTCTTTCAGAATTTCAGTCTGACAACATTTTGAGGTCTGAAACATTAATTCTTACTTACCTGCTTAATTGGAAATCACAAAAACTATTAAATAAATCAGGTGATAGGATTTCTAGTTGTCCGCTTTTTTGTGAAAATTCTTCAAACGAGATCTTCAAAAAAAAACAATACACTGAAAAGTTCGAAGTTATATAGAACCGCATTCGCTTCATTCCTAAAATACATATATTGGCAGAAAACTTGTTCAGAAAATTTAGCAAATACATGTGAAGTTTTAGATTTGATTGGAAAGTTGTTGATATTTTCGAAAAAAAAACAGAGAACTACTGATTCAAGTCTTCTCAGAGGAGTCCAGCTTCCGGAGAAAGCTCTACCCACAAAATTCAAGATTAAATCTTCAAACAACAATTAGTACCTGTCAAATATTCCAATTCCAAGATGTTTCAAGCAACCATTTTTCGGTATTGGGAAAATGATTTTCTAAAAATCTGAACATATTTTTCGATGTTCTTATAGTAGTTTTAAGCTCACATTTTAACAACTCAATTTCAAAAAATAGTCTGAGATATGCAGTAAATCATTTCCCGAACCCCGGAAAATGATTTCTCATACTATGTACACTGCCTCTCATTTTCTTTCATCCCAGCCGATTCGTAAATCCCTTGACCCTTCCAAGTCTTTCTTATTTATGTATCTTCTGAAGTTTTGTCCAAGACATAACGAAGTGTTCTTCACGTCATTACGGGTCCGTATCGGGTGCACACTCGTCACAATGAAACACTGAAGGCAGAGATAGGAAGAGAAAGAGACGTAGACGTTCGGTCGAGAAGACCCGCTCGGTTTCTTTGTCAACGCATAGGTGTGTCCAGGACAGAACGCTTTGTAGACGGGATATACGATGGTCCGTTGGAGAAAAGGAAAGAGAGTGGAAGGAGCAGAGAATGATGAGCAGCTGGCGGACGGTAAAAGGCTTTTGATTAATATGACACTTGTCCATTGTTGCGTCATTCGAAGAATTATGATCTAGTTGGAAGATTGAAAAAAATGGAGATACGGTAGGGGATTCAAAAGGGAGAAGTTCTTCCAAAGAATCTTGTCAGATTGAGAAGTTTCGAATACTATTTGTGCGGTTGGGAAAAGATGGATAAATTGGTCTGTGTTCTATTACATACGTTTTTTTGAATCAGAGGTTTTTTGTTTTGGGAATTCCATACCGTAAAACCTTCATTAAAACGGCCCCTTCAAAATTTGTTGTTTTGAAAATTTTCGAAATTTTGCAATTTTTTCTGAAACATCACAATCAGGGCTGGGATTTTACGTTTACGGTTTTTACGGATTTTACGGCATTTTGAGAGAGCCGTAAAATTTTACGGACCCCCGTAAAATTGTATCCGTAAAATCCGTAAAAACCGTAAAATTAATAAAATGACTGTTTTTGGCAAAAATAAAGAAAATTATTTTGAGTTTGGCGCTATTTTGAGTATTAACATTCTGAGATTTCAATGCAAAAATTGGGAAATTTTGTTTTTTCCGAAGTTTTTGAAAATTTTACCGAAACTTTTTGGAAAATGGAATGTCGAGATTTTTGATAAAAGTGAGAAAATGCATAATTTCTGAGTTATTGAAATGAAACTCCGCAAAATTACATACCTGAAATAGCGCAAAAACTTGAAAAAATAGGTTTTGCTTGCAAAAAACAATCACTTTGGAAATTTTACGGTTTTACGGATTTTTAAATCCGTAAATTTTACGTTTTACGGATTCCGTAAAAAAATAATTTTACGCCCAGCCCTGATCACAATAAAAAACAATTTTGACACCGAAATTTTTGATGGAAAATTTCGCGAAAATATTCCGGAAAAATAGAAGGACCTAATTAGTTAACTTGATTGAAAGCCCTTGAAGTAGAAGGAAGAGATGTCCGAAATGACTTTTTCGAGAAACGGAATCCGGACAAAAAATTTCACGGAATCCCGAAAATAGAATCTAGATAAAATAATTTGTTTGGAATCCAAAATATGGAATTATCCTGACATCTCTGGTGTTTTACGGTATTTCTGAATGAAAGTTACGGAACACTTTTAGAATTCCCACTAAGTCGTTGGCGAAATTGAAATCCATATCTTCAATATAATCGTTCTTCTTTACTAAACCCAACTATCTCTTACATAAGAAACGATTATCTACTCTGACAAAACAATGTCTCCAATAATTTTCTTGTTTTTTTCAGACCTCTGTTCGAATATTCCTCAATGTTTGGTAATCCAGTAAGCTTCACTTCATAAGCTTCTTTTCAAAAACTGTACTCTTTCGTCAAAACAACATGGAACACAGTTGTGTGTAGTGAATGTAAATATCTACAAAGATTACAAGTCACATTTCTAAGTTGTTCAAAATTGAAGCTGTTTCTGAAGATCCCACAACGACGACTACAGTAACCTAAAAATGTTCTTATTTTCAGGATTTATTTTCCTCGCTTTTCACGGTTTTTCGTTGTGTTTTATTTTTCCGAAAAAAAAAGAAAACAACAATTTTTGTAGTAAAAAAATTACTTAAAACGCACGAAAATCGCTGAAATTAACTCGAAAAAGAAATTAAAAATTTTAGGTTACGGTAGTTGTCATTGTTACACCTCTGGAAACGGCTGCCGGCGTTTCTCTTCCACAGCTCCGATTCCTTTAATGTTTACAACTTCTACGAAATGATCGCATCAGAAGTTTTAAATACTTTTCCAAGAGAAATAAACAACTTTCATCGTCCATCCCAAAAAAAAACAATACGATGCATATGTGGTCAGTAAAATGGACAACTGATAACTCGTGTTCCAGTCGGTACTAGTTGATACGAGTTGGAAGCAAAATACTTGTAAACAATTGAAGCTACAAAGATGTTCAGATTCTCCATTTCTTCTTCTTCCTCGTATTCTGATTCTTCTTCTTTTACTATTTCATACACTATTCGATCATATGTTTTGCGGGCAGAGAACAAAGAGAGAGCATGCAATTGGAGAGATGGAGACGTCATCATAAGGGGGTTGTCGACGTGAATCGGACGCGCCTGTCAAAGAAATTTGCATTTGCACCGGTGTCATTACCCCTCTTCTCTCCGCCCCAACAGCTTTCTTTTTTATGCTGTTTCTTTGTTGCGTCGTTATCGGCCCCGCCCATTGAACCGCCCAGAGATGGAAGGTCCTCCTTTCTCAGTCATCATTTCTACGCTTGCATTTGGAATGTGCAGAGCTACACAGCCGAGAGCAAGCTCTAACCCTTCTTGACCTATAAACATTAGGGATTCCCCCTCTTTTTATTTACACAAAGATCTCAGAAGAGTTATACTAAACGGGTTTTTGTTCATTCATGGTACTATCAACTATTTTAGTTGTGGACTTTCTTTCGTTTAGTGTGCTTTTTAGGCGGCCTAGATAGTTTAGGATTACGGTAATTAGGTCTAGCGGTTCGCAACAATACACTCATATTTCTGTATAGTCTTCCCGATTTTCACTTCTTCTAGAATTATGGTAGATTTTCTCAAGTTGCAAAAGAATAGGTTTTTGTTCTGTGTATAGTTTGTATACAATTTTTCGGTCTTCTTCTCGTTTTTTCGAATCGCACGTGTTTCGTTTTTTGTTTTAAATGACACAATACTCTCTTATCATCTTCTTCTTCTCCTTTCACCCTCGTTTTTTCCACCTTCTTCTTTTTTTTTCTCTTATCAGTTGTGATTCGTCACAATCCGGGAAACCCCTTGAGATCAGAATTTCAGGAAGATGTCGTCGAGTCCTCTCGGAGTTTTTGGAGCCCTTCCTGTCGACACGCTCACCACGATTTGTCGTCATCTTCCCATGAATGATGTCGTCACTGTTTCTCATTTGGACAATGAATTGGGAGATTGTGTGAAACGATTCATCTATCGAGAACTTAAAGGATTGAAAGTGGAAATCAATGAAAACGGTTGGATCTGCATCTTTAAATTGTAATTCTTATTGTCTTTGGTTTCAGAATCCACAATTCATTTCATCCACAAAGATAAGCGGAGCACTCAATTGAAGTTGGAAGGATATGCTTGGGAAGAAGTCGTGGCAAATGCAAAATGTGTTGAGTCCCTTGAAATGATCATATCCAAAGGAATGTCTACATCTTCATTGTTCAGTGCATTCAGAAAAGCTCGTGAGTTCTTATACTCCTCAATTGCATTTCCATATAAAACACTATTTTTAGCATTTTGCCTCCGATCTCTGAAAATCCAAATTCCAAAAGGAGGAGACAAATTTCCTTCGAAAACTTATGAGCTTCGTAAGGTTGGTATTCAGATCGATTCGACAACATCTTCTGAGTTAAAACATTACAGAGATGCTACGATCTTGCCACCAAACACCGCTCTTCTCTTCGTCATCTGGAAATGACCACTCCTGATGGGCAAAACGCATACGCAAATCTTAACACTGCCACATCATCTATGCGATTCACCTTCAATCAAGCAGAAGAGCCCGCACCCAGCGAGGAGGCTGAGCATAACAGTAGTCACACTTTTGTGTACACCGTCTTCCATGCTTTCCTGAATGTTCACACAATCAAAAATGTCACACTGGAAATCGGAAGTAAATTCGATCCAAACCTTGCTCTTCAGAAGGCGTACCAAATCGCTCTGCCTTACTCCGGAAGACCTATTCTCGAGAGGTTGACTATTGAATTCGGAAACAGTTTGAAATCGATGAACGAAGCTGATATGAAACAAGTACTTCTTCGCCACGTGGATGAATGTCATGTCTCCACTCCAAACCTTCAACACTTCCACTGTAGTCTTCCTCATGATGAGGTGAGTTGTATTTTAAAAAAAGTTTCATTTTATCATTCATTGAATTTATAGATCGACTTATCTCAAGAGTTTTTGACACTGCTGAATGAGCCAGTCACCAAGTCTCGAAGGAATCCGAAAAGCCAGCCATACAAATCGACGATTTCGCTTCGGACAGTCAGTTGTCAATGAATTTGAACCTTCAACAGAATGTACAATGTATTATGATCTTCCCATTTGATACTCAGTTTAACTGTACATATTTAATAACTAGTATATCATACTGTAATATTTTCACTGTTCGATAATACGTGAATACAAAAAATAAAGCAACCATTTTAATGAAATCAGAAAATTCACATTTCTCAAGATACCAAATCTAAAATGTATGCTATAAATGAACAGCTGAGATGAGATACGACATTTTCAAAAAGAAATGAGCAATCACAATTTCCGGATCATCACTGATTGTCATATCACTTTCACTTTCAAGTCTGAAAATATGACCACCGGAAGACAAAAGCTCTTACAGCTTTTAATGACGTATTAGTGATATAGATCTCTCTTTTCCTCTTCTTCTTTTCTAGAGAAACTCGAAACGACTGCTCTGTTACACTAATAACAGCTGACTCAGTTTTGAAGGCAACCGGTCAGTACTTCCTTCCATTCACACTTTACGTCTTATTGAATGAAATGGCTGACTCTGTAGCATCAATTGGTAATCGGTATATTGATAGTAATGGTAGGTTATCAACTATTTTCGAATAAATATTGAAATGCAAACCATTCAGATACCGATATGCATTTTCTCCGAACCTGGGCGGTTCGTAGATGTCAGCATACGGATTGGGATGTATGTGAAAGGATTCGATTGTGTGAATTGAAAGAAGTAAAGAGATTAATGTAGAATTCTATTAATTTTTCATGTTTTTGAGGCAAGAGATCGTGCTGCACAAATGGAGAAGACGATGAGATGGTGGTCAAGTTGCACAGCTGAATGGAGGAATAGATGGAGGTTTGTAATAACCATGTGAGACAGGCCTTTGCCGGGCCTTCCTCGCCGCTGTTATAGTTTCTTTTAGAATTAATTTTCGGACCAATTAAATCAGATTTAATAGAGCTTGACAAGCACTACAACATAATAATACAGTGCGGTGCAGGTTCTTATGTCCACCTATGTTTAGGGTCATAACTTGAGAGTTGTTAGAGGAATCGGTCTAATTTTTTGAAAATCGGATTCGAAACAACAAATTAAATATAGTGGACAATTTTTGTGATGAAACCTTGAAAACTACCCGAGTTATCTGGAAAAGTCGGAAATATGCCTTTTGCAACCGTTGCAAGTTTATACGTCCACTCCAAAGATCCGTAGATCAAGACCTCCAGCGAAGACGGAGGTGTCCAATTTTGATTCTTCCTTTTTTGAATCGGGCTTGGAAAAGAGAAAATAAAATGGAAGAAGTAAAAAAGGGATTTAATGAAAAAAAATAATTTCAAATATAGATATTTCCTGAACATATCAACAAAAATCATGAAAAATGACAAGTTTCAAAAGTGTACTGATTAGCCAGACTTTCGTCTGTTGATCCCTTTCGCCACGTAGAGGCTCAGTACATGAAAGGGAAAATGGGTTTTCACTGGGGGAAAACACCAACACAAAACCCCTGTCTCCGAGGAGACAGTTTTCTAATTTTCAATAGTTCTTTTTCACTGCTAAAAAGTTATACGATCGCTATTTATTGTTTTTGTTCATTTGTTTCTTTTTTCTCTGATTGAGTCTTTTGCAAAAGGGGGACGTTCAGTGAAAATGAATTCACCTAGCCATGAACCACCAAACATGGCGACCCTGAGGGCCTTTTGTAACTTTTTTCGCATCCGACCAATCGAAAGAAAAAAGGCAAATGAAACAATAAACAGCTTACGCAGGGAGCTTCAGGGCAGTCAAAAAGTGCTAGCGAAAATTATCAAACTAATTCAAAAAGTGGGATTTCACAAAGGATTGTTTTTTTTCAATACGTGGAATTTTTTCAACGTGGACAGAGGTAGGGGCGTGACTTAACATTGATTGATTTAAATATTTATTGCGTAACGTGTGAAAAGTTTAATAAACTCGGAAATTGAAAGTAGATTTACGTAACCCATTGAAAAAGTAAAAAACTAACAGTAAGGAAAAACGAGTGAAAACTAGGTTGAATCGCGCCGAAGACGCACCATCTGTTGTTTTATTTATTGGGCAATTATCTCGGTTCCTATAAAAGATACTCGAAATTTGTCAACTAATAAAATGTTAGTGGAAAAAACGGTGGTAATTTTGTCAGATACTTTTTTAGAATGAAAAACATTCATGCTAAGGTTATTTGGTAGATCATGTTAAACTTTCACACCTTCCCCCAGCTAGATCCGATGCACTTTTGAAAGAAGTTGAGACAACGTACGTGATCGTCGGTATGTGTCGGAGCTGGGACCATGATTGCTCTTTTGATGCCTGGATCATCTTTGAGACATCTCTAACTCGTCCACTTGATGACTTCAAGTTTCAGCTCCTCGTTGATACCATTACACGACTTCAAAGAATTTAAAACATTGGGATCTTGAGGGCAGAATTTGAGCTGATACTGTTTTTTTTTGTTAATTTTAGGATGAGAGAATAGTCGATATCACAGTGTGAATGAGTTAGTTGCTTTCTGCTAGCTTTTTGGTCCATCCAGCTGCTCCAACTGCCCCGATTGAAGCTTTTCCAGCATCAGTCGGCAAAAGATCCCATGACATGATAGAAACTCTAAGAAAGAGAACAACGTAATGAAAAAACTTTTTATAGTGATTTTAGTTATACAGAATCAAAATTGGACACCTCCGTCTTCGCTGGAGGTCGTTATCTACTGATCTTTGGTTTTCAAAAATTTTATTTTCAAAAATTGGACCGATTCTTTTAACATCTCTCAAGTTATGACCCTAAACATGGCTGGACGTAAGAACCTGCAACGCAACGCACTGTATTTGGAAAACTTCACCTTGTCCATGAACAAAGTTACATACGAAACGGACCGAGAAAAAACCAGCCCAGCCATAAACAAGTTACAGATCTCCAAATAGCATCATTTTGTAGTACTCGTCAAGTTCTATCCTATTCAATTGGTTTGAAACTATTGATACTAAAAGAAACTATGGCCGGGATCGCCACTGATGATAACACTGTGGCGAATTCTTTTTTGATTGTGTGGTACTACCATTCCGTGCTTTCACATACAGATCAGGCAGGTCAAACACTCTAAGCGAGAGCAAGACTTGTGATGTTATTCCAAACTCTCGATATTCTTTCTTTCGATTTCTAGTAGCTTAATCTAGTAGATTTCTAGTAGCTTAGTAAACAGTTGGAAAACACAAAAGTAGACATTTTTATTAGTATTGATTTATAAAAATCAACTTAAAAACGTTGAAAAGATACAACAATAAAATATTATTTAGGACAACTGAATAGGTGATAGATACCGTTTTTTTCTAATATAAGTTCACCCAAATCGTCAACTTTGAGCTGAAATGTCTCGATTCCGTTAAAGATATGAATAATTTGTCAACTGACAAATTATTTATCAGTTAAAATATTTTATCGAGATAATTGAGCTCAAGATAGACGGTTTGGGTGATCAGAGGAAATACGCTATAAGGTATTGTAAACACTTAATAGAGTGTCACCCAATCCGTCAACTTTGAGCCAACTTATCTCAGTTCCTTTTAAAAATACCAAAGAGCGGTTTACTGACAAAATGTTATTGATATGATAAAAGTTTTTTCAGTTGACCAACTGTTTAATATGTGTTACAGGAAATGAGATATTCAAGCTCAAAGTAAACGGTTTAAATTACACAGAGTTTTCGGTATTATGGGTTAATTATTTAATTAAAGAGAATTACTGTCTATTCAATAAAACGTATTGAATAGACAGTAGAAACATCGAAAAAAAAGAAAATGCTAAAGGAGAGATCATATTTTTTTCAGTTTCCAGTATCCTCGTATTAAGTTAAGAATTATTTCAATTCCCAGCATACTTGTGGAAAAGATAGCCGGCCCGCTTTTTGAAAATTTTGAAATTTTAGAGCGAATCATCATTTTTCAAGATGGTTTTTCTTCTTAGTGAATGAAAATCCACACTAGAGGCCGATACTGTCGACAAAAACTGTTTTGAAGTCGTAATTAGAAAAAAAAGTTTCATCCTTGGCTA